ATGCAAGACGATAAGTGTTCGTATATTTTGCATTACACAACGTTTGAAGAGCGTGACGCGGCACCGCGGAATTTTTCCAGCGTCTTCGCCAACAGCATTTAAAATAATTCACAATTTCCTTGCCTGTAAACGACACGCCGTTATGAAATCGTTAACCGCACGTTTTTGTTGTAACGAAACCCGTTAACATCTGTGCAACTGTAGGTCAGTAAAGTTGTCAGGTTTTTACCCAACGTGTGATTGCAATTTTATTTTGAAATGTTTAATGAAAAAAAGCGTAGAGAAAGGAAGACTGAAGTTGTAACATTTTTATATTCACTGTAATATTTTCTTATCACTCGTTTTGTTATCGGGTTTCAAGGGAAAGAAATGAAGTCATTTAACAAAGTGGTTGTCTTAAGGTTGTATTTCGAGACAAAACCGCAATGATTTTGTCACGTCGTTCACAGAAACACGTTGACGAATATTGCGGTTTCGTTGCGAGGATGTTGGTAGTCGGGTACGCAAATATGCATTGAGATTAGCAGTTGCGCTGGCGCTCGTTGGTGGAACACTGACACCGGTTGTACCGAGGCATCCGCTAATCTCATCGCCACTTTGCGTTATTGCATTAACAACATAGTTTTCTCTAGTTACGCAAAGTATGCGGCCTGCGTTGGAAAGTTTAGGCGTTGATCAGCCTCAGGATATTCGAGACTCTCAGTATCATTTTCTAATGCGAATGCAATAATGACCGTACTGAAAAAAATCGTACGCAAATTTTGCGGAATGCGTGAAATAAATATATGAGAGATGTATTTAACACGTGTGCTACTAATCGTAAATCTCGTTTTTTCATACGTAGATTCATAAAAAGAAACTCTCACAGATACAACAAGCCTGTGCAAAAGGATGACTGCCAGACATCAGTAAGTAAACCGAGATATTAAAATGGAATAGAATCATTGAGATTTATATGCATATGTATTGTAGCTGGATAATTAACGGTAAAGTTCATGCAAATATGATTAAGTGTTCCATGTGAAAATCTTGGGTAATATCCTATTGAGTACAGAAATAGCATTTTCTATAGTTTGTCTGAAGATATTCATCTTAAAGCAGAATAATAAAACAGACGTCATTAAATAGTGTGAATAATTGAATAAAACTAAGTTTTTATAGAAATTCTCCTTGACTTTTTTTATGGGAAAATATTTCGTCTTGGGAAGAAGTTGTTCGATTTTGAAATGATCATTGAAGCCTAATTAACGTCTGCGCGATCATAATTTCGATTACGAAAGTTCGCCTCGCATTCTGGGTCCGAGTACCGTAATTGTACCACTGATTTCTCACGATTCTTACCTCTGTACTGAGACGGTGCATGAAAGTGGTATGATGCCCCGTCAAGGTCTTCATCGGCTTGGAGAGGACTCAGGCTTAAAAGTTTCGGAGCCTCGGCGTGGGCGCGAAACCAACGCATCTCTGAAACAATCAATTAAACCCTCGATACAATCATATATTTCCTGAGATCTATTTTAATAATAACGGGTAATCTCTAAACCTTTCGAAACCCGACACGAAGTTTAATTACCTCGCAATTACAAGAAGTATAAATCGCGTTCCTCTACTACACCGTTCCAAATTCCATCTTAATTGCCTTTAATCTTTTTTGCGATCTCAGGGAAAAAACTAGTAGAAATAATGGGAGGCAATATCAAATCTTTGATCGATCGCAATAACAATAATCCGTTAAAAGTGAAACGGATACGGTGAATGGATTTCGCGTGAAACAAACGGCGACAGTTTCCGTTGCGATTGCTGAACCGAAGCCCTTCCCTTCTCCTCGCTATTGCACTTGTCCCTGATACCATATGTACCGTAAAAAAAAAGGCTGGGGAATTCAACAGCCTTGACAAGGAATGAAGGATGTTATAAATCGCGAACTTGTCATTATTTATCGTCCTTGATCAGTCCAGGTTTTGTGCTTGAGGATTGATTGAATTGCCTCATGCATGCCCTAATAAAAATTAGTACGTCATTTCATGTAATAATTGTACAACACGACGTTCTGTATAACGATTGATGCAATAATTCATGTACCAATTAATATTAAATTTCTTATGATG